GAACATAAACAAAGCATGGTACACTTCTTCAGCAATATCTAATGACTCATACATACATCCTCAGTGGGAATCCAGGACACCAAAGCATTCTGATATCCATTTATCAAAAAGAAAACCTGTCAATCCTACAGGTCATATATGCCTGGCCTGGTTTAGGTGAACGTGTAAGAACAAAGACCCCAGCCTAGGGGGTATATCTGGGCATATATATTTAAAGAGTTACAGTTGACTATTCTAAGAAGAAAAGAAAGCATAGTGGCTAAAACATGTAAAGCACAAACCTGAAATGTAGAAATATAAAGGTCTAACCATTCCAAATATAAGGTACTTTAAAAGGAAAATGCAAAGCCATCCCTTACCTGGGCTACACACCTGGAAACCAACTACATCTTCCTCCTCCTTCTCTAGGCTTCCTTCTCAGAAGTGACTGCCTACAATTCAAACCCATATCTGGAAAACATGGGTCTCAAGAAACAAAAAACATGGTTCCTTCTTTTGTAGGCTCAAGATTTACTTAATAACAAGTCACTGAACTTTGACCTCTCTGCTTCCCAATTTTATTCATTTAGTTTTGAATGAGAAAGGACCCACAACTCAATTGGAAAAAGTATTTACACTCAGTGGGATTTTGTTTTGCAGTAGGGATTGAATCCAGGGACTCTATATAGATTTACCACTGAGCAACATCCATAGCCCATTTTATTTTTTATTTTAAGACATGGTGTCCCTAATTTGCAAAGGCTGATCTCAAACATAAAATCCTCCTGCACTAGCCTCCTGAGTAGCTGGCATCTCAGGCACGTATCACCCACCATGCTGGCCAAACTCAGTATTTATGTCTACAGAGGAAATACATGTATAAAGCACTTACATTCATCTCTCAAGAGGAATAGCAAAAGCATCCATTTTTTTTCAAAAAATATTAAAGAATTCTGTGTTTGGGATTGGAGTCTCTGACACATGATTGTGGCATGCTTGGTGATTGGGTAGTTTGTGTGCAAAGACACAAAATGCTTGGCTGCTAGGAAGTTTCTGTGCAAAGACATGAATGCCTGACTACTAGGAAACTCCTGTGCAAAAGCACAGGATGCCTGGCTGAGTGTTCTTCATGAGGAAACTGTTTCCCACGCTTAGAATGCCCAGCAGTTTCCCCTTGAACCTACTAAGATAACTATGCAGGCGTACTATCTAGTTTCTATAGTGATGTTCTTGGAGAAAAGGGCTCTGTGACTGTATTAACCTAGACCTTAGCTCAGTTAGCTAGCACTCGGGGTTAAAGGAATACTAAATTACAATGTGGTCACGGTAATGGCGGGCTAGGTAACTTGTGAGATAATAAACATGGCTGCTGGGAGGAGCAGCCCCTTCTCTTCTTGCACATGAGAAACCCACAAAGAACACTTTGGAGAAGAAGAAAGGCAAATAAAACATTTAATTAAAATAACACAAGGCTGAACTCCTTTTCTAAAATCTAACTGTATCCTGTGGCTTTGAATATATTTTCTCTTATTTGAAGCTCTACTAATTAAATACATTTTAAAGCTAGGGAAAAGTTGAAGCTGAAGTAAGAAATCTTTTGAAGGTGATGAGCCCAGGAATTGCAAAGCTGACTGTAATTTAGACATGTCAGACCCAAGGTTAAAGTCAAGACATCCTAACATTTTGGACATTCTCCCATTCCTATTCTTACACACTGAAGTACACTGTGGATTCTTATACACCCTGAAGTGTGTGGGTATTCTCCAAACTCTGGGATATTCTCCTTGTATTCACAACTCAGAGAAAATGCAGAAAGGAGAATAATTTGTGTTTCCCCCTCAACACTATGATCCAATTTGTAGGCCAACAAAATCTTCATGCAATGAAGGTTATGGCAAACACATTCAAGTTCCAAGGGGTTACAGATATAGACAAAATAGAAAAAATGAGATGCCACTAAACCCCAAGTCAACCAGTTTTCCCCCAAGTCTCCACTCCAATCATAAGTCTGTCCTCTGGAAAGAAATAATCAGGAGGCTGATGGTCTACAGACATTCTAAGAGAAATACCCCTGTGGATACCAAGTGTCATACCCAGATAGTTCTGAAATCCAGCACCATGGAAAAACTGAATAAGAACATGTCACCTAATAACGTTTGTACTGAACTTTCCATTTCTGTGACATAAATAGCTATAAGTCACAACTTAGAAGTGGAAACATGTATTTCAGCTCACAGTTTCAGAGCACTCAGGACATGGTAGTCTCACTCCAAGACAGAAACATCATGGAAGAAGAGCATGGAGAAAACCTCTTCAGCTCATGACAGCCAGGCAGCAGAGAAGGAGAAAGGTGCTGGAAGAAGATGATCCTGGTCAGGGCTGCTCCAATGACCCACCTCCTCCAACTAGTTCCCCTCCCAGTCTATTCAGTTGTTAATGGGCTACTCCACAAAAGTCAGCACCCTCATAATCCAATCATGGCCCAAAAGCCCATCTCTCTACCTTGATGCAACTGGGCACCATATTTCAACATGTGAGATTTTGGAGACATCCCAGATATAAACCACAATACTTGTCAAAAATATGATGATAAGGTGACTGTGCCTAAGGAAGAAAAAAGAAGGCACTAAGGTAATGAAAAGAGTCTGGTAATAATTTGCTCTCCACCAATGTGAAATATTAACCTCCTAAAACAAGCATTTTCAAAAGCATCATCCACTACTTAGGGGTATATGATAATTAAAATACTCTGTCAGTTTCAAATATTGCATGGGTAAAAATATTAATAATCCTATGAATTGCAAAAGGAAAATTGATATTTTTTAATCTGGAGGAAACTCAAAAATGAAGGATTTGTTGTCATTCCTGTGAGCAGCTATAGAGAGAACAGGGTCTATGTTTTGAGATCCTGTCTCTCATATTGTGGGAGAATCACAGAAAATGAATAACCCTGGGGAGAAAGAAAAAGCTGATGTCTACTGTCAACAAGGCAACTCCTACCCAGGAACCACATCCACCAAGGTGGCTTCTGCCAGGATTACATTTTGTGTACACTGCACAAACTGTGGATACCCAGAGATGCCCAATGGTGGCTCTTTGTAACCAATGATGGTTCCAGCTGCAGGCTGATCTACCACCCCACCATCCAGTGGGTAATAAGGCCATATTGCCACAGTAGTGAACTTAGCTGTAACTGGAGCTAATTTTAGGCAGAACAAAGTCCCTCCACGGCTGATTATCCCTTTTGCCTAAAATCTGCAGATTTCTCTATTTTCTCACA